TATGAGTCTGAGGGGGAGATGCTCTTTAATTCAGCCGCTTGTGGAGAAAAAATGCTGAATTACAGATTCCAAGTGAATCTCTGCTCGCTCCAACAGAGGTGCTTCATTAAAGACGTTTTCCTTTTTTTAACCTCCTGCATCTGCAGCTTTTATTTGTCTGCATGCTGAAGATTTTATAGCTGCAAGATGAAGTTTAGTTATGTTGGAGCAAACTGGGATTAAATCATGTTTGGTAAAAAAAATCCGATGTAATGAACCTAAAGGGGTTCAACCTGTGATCGCTGACTGACTGAGAAAATAAAACCTTAAAATCACAGTTTAATAAAACTAGATAAATGCTCATTAATAAAGAGTTTACAGCATCCAATGACTGAAACAGAAAAACATTCATTTCAGATTTAACATTTATATCATACAGTTAGAAATGAAAAGCATTTTCTAATTGCAATTCAAATTGAATTATTAAAGAGAATTATTAAGTAGTATTTATTAATCCACTATTAAATGGTGAATTAGTGAAAACAAATAGTGGGGGAGTGGTGGTGTAGTGATTAGGGCATAGAGCTTGGAATCCAGAGGTTTTGAGTTCGAGCCCCACTCCCACAGACTGCCGCTCTGGGTCCCTGAGAAAGACCTTTAACCCCAATGCCAATTTAACTAGTATTTTTACTCTTAAAATAAGATAATTAGATAAAATGCACTTGAAATAAGACAATGCTATTGTGTTTTCTTATTTTAAATGTCAATTGTCTTGTTCCATTGGCGAAATGTCACTTTTACCTCCTCAATCCAAGAACAAATGCACTTTTTTTAAGGAAAAAATTACTTATCTTCCTGCTTCAGCAGATAGAGGATCCTCCATCTTTATTAATAGATCAGAGCCCGTTGTCATAAAGTGACTTTCACAGGTAGGGACAGTCAGAGGGGACCAGTGGACACGACAGGGGACAGAATAGCAACTTTTATTCACTCGATCCGTTCATTGTTAAGATGACCAGAGACCTCCTCACTGTACCTCACAGTAGTTGGTCCATAAATCCTGCTCACTGTTTTAAAGAATCTCAAACATGCAGTTTCACCACCTGACTGCAGCGGAGCAACAATACCAACCCTGTTCTGATCCAATTAGCCCCATTAGCCAGAAGCCGCTGGACTTTGAGTTCTAATGGAGTTCTGCTCCACAGAGCCTGATCTTATCAGCTCGGTCTCGTGCGCAAACAAAGCCGCTCTGAGGTGTTCTGCCCGGAGTCAGACGGCTTACAGGAGAAACAACCGGCCGGCTGGAACCAAGCCGGTTCTGCAGAACCACATGAAGGGAAAACTAAAATCCAATCTATAGATCTACGTCTGGATCCTGATTGTTTCTGATCATAACAAAATAAAGTCAAAATAAAAATAAATGAACGACTTTCAGGAAAGTTTCCTTTAAAAATTAGCTGCAGAAATCAGATCCTTGAGATATCGGTTCTGATCCCGTCATTGGTCCAGAGAGCTGCTGCCAGCCTCCATCCACAGGCTGCTGAGCATCTGGAGAGCCTGGACCAAACACTGGACTGACGGAGCGCCAACGGTCCAAAAAACAAGCTTCTATCGTTCAGGGAGATCCCAGATGACCTTTGACCTCCCTGATCACTGAGGCGGTGCAGTTATTGATCAGTGTGGGCTCCGGGGAGAAGCAGACAACCAGTGAGGCTTTACTTCCGCTGCTTTAACTGGGACCAGCAGGAAGGTAGAGAATTCTACAAAAACCCGTCAGTCACAGACGGTTAGAACTTCCTGGTAAATCAGCCGAGGCTCGCTCAGTTCGGACCCAGAACGCCTGTGAAAGGCGGCTGTCGAGCATCGACACAGATTATTTTCAATTCAGACTTTGACTAGGACAATGAAGCTGCTCCTGTTTCTCCGACCAAAGACCACAATCCGACCTAAAAAGACAGTTTCTTCAGAACGTTTGTGTGTTCTGGAATAAAATCTCCTAAAACATGTTTCCGGATCGACAAGTTCAATCCGCTCCCTGCTGAAACAGAACCGGGTCGCAATCATTCAAGGTTTCCTCACCGCCACCCGATACAAAAAGAAACCCCCAGAACCTAAAAAGACAGCTTCTTCAGGACGTTTGTGTGTTCTGCAATCAGATCTCTTAAAACATGTTTCCGGATCGACAGCGGCCCTAAAAAAGTTCAACCCGCTCCCTGCTGAAACAGAACCAGGTCGCAATGATTCAAGGTTTCCTCACCGCCTCCCGATACAAAAAGAAACCCACAGAACCTAAAAAATCATCTTCTTCAGCTTCTTCAGAACCTTTTTCAGAACCTTCTTCAGCTTCTTCAGAACCTAAAAAGACAGCTTCTTCAGGACGTTTGTGTGTTCTGGAATCAGATTTCCTAAAACATGTTTCCGGATCGACAGCGGTCCTAAAAAAGTTCAACCCGCTCCCTGCTGAAACAGAACCAGGTCGCAATGATTCAAGGTTTCCTCACCGCCTCCCGATACAAAAAGAAACCCCCAGAACCTAAAAAAACATCTTCTTCAGCTTCTTCAGAACCTTTTTCAGAACCTTCTTCAGCTTCTTCAGAACCTAAAAAGACAGCTTCTTCAGGACGTTTGTGTGTTCTGGAATCAGATTTCCTAAAACGTGTTTCCGGATCGACAGCGGTCCTAAAAAAGTTAAACCCACTCCCTGCTGAAACAGAACCGGGTCGCAATGATTCAAGGTTTCTTCACCGCCACCCGATACAAAAACATGCCCAAAACATTTCTACTGAGCATTTTACCCAATACATCGTTAAATAGAAAAAAGAAAATTATTCAATTACTGATTATGATAGCAAAGAAAATAATCTTTTTGCTAAAGCCACAACCCCCGAGCACCGACCTTTGGTGGGACAGAGTTAAGGAAGCGATCGGAATGGAAAAAATAACAGCAAAAGAACAGTTAAAGATAAATTGTTTCAAGAGACATGGAGATAGAAAAACCTTAACTGCTCTGGAATTTTAACTGTAAAAATGTTCATCTTTGGAATACAGAACGTGATGGATTCACATATTAAAATGTCCTCTCTAAATTTTTGGAAAAGTTTTTTTTTTTTCCCTTTAATTATGTATTTGTATTTGTTTCGACTTTTGTAATTTGTTTTGTTTGTATTTATAAATCAATACCTTTGGGAAAGGAAAAAGAAAACCATTTAAGAAATTCTGTAAAGAAACTATTTATGTCTTTACCAAATAAAAATGAATTGAAAAAAAAAAAAAGAAGAACCTGCCCAGAAAGACTTCATTAGGTAACCATGGCAACCATAAAGACAGGGCTGCCCGGTCCCTAACATGGAGATTCTGTTGGGGTTTTAGGACCTTAATATGTCCCCCCCTGAGGTTCCAGGGTCCCTGAGGGACCCCGTTTAGCTTTAATGAGTCTGCTCAATACCGACAAAAAAGACCCCCCAACTACCCCCCCAAAAAAGGTCACAGCTGCTGGACTTTAAACTCCCATCCAGGAGATCCTCAGTGAAGCAACAAGAGGACCGAAGACCTTCTTTGGGCTTTAGAGGGAAAATAATCAGGACATTAAAAAAATAAAACATACTGGATGAGACTAAAGGGATCTCAATTCAAAAATACTTTATTCATCACAAAGGGAAATTAAATAATGTTTGTAGATTTTAATGTAAAACCCTAAAGAAACAGAGTGAAACGAATCTACGGTTTTTTAAATTTCATTTCAGGAAAAAAGAAGAAAAAAAAATTCCAAGCCAACTTTGCTCTCATGTGAAAAAGATGAGAGAAAAAGAGTTATAAGTTCTAAAGAGAACCTGTCTGGCAACATGAAGTAGGCCAGCAGAGTTTGGCGTGGGAGATGACGCTTCTCTTTAGATCTCAATGTCCAAAAATCATGACAGAAAGAATATTTAGTACAAATATTGATGGTTAAAAAGGAATTTTAGGGGACCAACCAAGGACCAGCCAAGAGCTCATTAAGGAAAGTGGGGAAATTTTGAATGGCTACTACTGTAAACCCAAAAGACGAGAAATAAGCGATGATTTGTGGTCAAAATTCTGCCCCAAAATAACCCAACGATCTGCTATATGGAAGGTATGAAGGTATACTACAGTTTTATAGCGGCCTAGTCAAAGTCCAGAATTAAATCCAAGCTGCTGCTGGACCCAAAACAGGCAGATCATCCTGGAAAAGCCTCAAATTAAATAAACTCTCTGAAGCGGAGTGGCTCAAAATTCTTCCAAGGTGACATAAAAGTAGCATCAAGACAGAACCAGTTTTTCGGTTTATTTCTTTTTCAAGATTGATCTAAATTCTTTTGTCTCATAATAATAATGTTTGCATTAGTTCGATGATCCTAAAGCTTGAAATTTGACCAAACGGTAAAAACAAAAAGCTAAATCTCAAATAAAAAGAAGAGAAAAGAGGAAACTTGGGGGTAAAAACTTCTTCACATCTCTGAAGACATTAAAACTTTTAACTCAACTTCAGAAAAAGTTTCTCTCAACGCCTGATAGTAAAATAAACTCTTCCTACTTTTCATTTCTAACCAGCAGAGTTTGTTTAATGAAATATGATCTTTTGATGTACTAATAAGTGAAGCTTTCAGCAAATATTAGCCCAAGAAATATCTTAAAACAACCAACCATAAAAATGATCCGTCCTGATTCTGTAGCGCTTCTAACTCCTCAGAAATGTCATGAAATAACTTGTGTTATAAATTCTGGGGCTGGTAACCAGTCAGACCAGTAGGTTTCTGCAGATTAAAGTCATTAAACCAGTCTGTAAAGAATCAGCAGGAAGCATCTGCTCCCAGCTGCAGGTTTGATCCACAGAACAGCTGCTTGAGGAGAACAAGCTGCGTTCAAAGTGAGAAATCCTCAATGGTTATTCAGAACCAGCAGACCCAGAGGAACCGAACAGAACCTCTAAAGCCACAGAGATCCTCTCTGCTGCTACAGATCCTCTGCAGAAGGAAACCAGGGAGGAAATCAGAACCACTCACCGACAGAAGAAACGGTTCCCTTGGTCTCTGCTCACTTGTTGCCTCCAGTCTGAGTTGGACGCTCCTGGTTCCTGTGTTCTGACAGCAGGAAGGCGGGTTCTGCTCCAGGAGGAGGAGGAGTTGGTCTCAGCAGACCACACCTCTGTGACTGCAAACAATATGAGCATGTCCTCATCAGATATGTTCACACCTAAAAACACCCGTTCTGCTCACCATCTGCTGGGTTTTTATCTGGACCTCCTTTCCAGACCCACCTACCCTCAGTCAGCGACCCTCAGATCCAAGCCTTCAGCTTCGACTGGTTTCATTTCACGTCCTCTGAGCAGAAGCAATAGGTTCTACCCAGCTGAAGCCTGCTGATCTATTAAAAGAAACGGCCTAAACACAGTCACCTGGTGTTTCATCCACACACCTTTCAAATGAGGCTTTAAAATTGGCTCAAAATTATTTTTTCACACTTACTTTTTGTTTTATAGCTGTGTAAACAAATAAAAATAGCTTTTAAATTCCACCTGAAAAGTGTGATTAATGCAACAGCAGGTACTAATTTTAGCCCCGCCCCCTAATGGCCACTATCATTGGAAACTAGAGGCTCAGACGTTTCCAAGGAGGGGTCGGAGGTCATTGTGCGACCTTTTCAGGTGATGTAACCGGCGTGCGTTACATAGGCTTTCTTTGTTATTCATATTTTCTATTTAGTTTGGTGATATTATTGTGTTCAATGGTAAATTTCAATGACTGAATGGCAAAATCTTAGGAGGAAAGGCTTTGTTTTTCTGCAGAAGGTCTCCAATAATGTAAATCAGCATATTTGTCTGTCCAGATTCCTCTTTTACGAGCGCATTTTTGCATAATTTGGCCACTTTTGGCACTGTGCCGAAATCACATTTCCTCCTAGCACACTGCCCACTAAACCCTTTGTGGAACAAACATCCTTCAACCTAATGAGTCGAAATTTACTTGCGTTATAGTCAAGATGTGAATCTGTAAAGTCTGAGGGTTTCTTTAAGAGTTTCAAATGTGGTTTTATGGTGTTTTATAGTGTTTATTCTGGAAAAAAAATTGGCGAGGCTAATTTATCTAATTTCCAATTTTCTTTGTTTAATCTCCCATAAATCAGACTTGGTGACATTTAAAATGGTGGTTCCACCTGAAAAATATTCCTCTATGCCCTTCTGTTATACAAATACAAACAATTATTTTCCAATGTATAGTTTGGAAGCTGAACTTGCTTTAAGTCATGTATGTAATCTCAGGTGCTTAAGGTTAAGCTAAATGTTAGCCTGTTTTATCAACTGCAGAACCAGTTTGAAGATCATTGTCCAGATGGACCCAAACCCAACCATCAGTGTGTTGAGTACCATCAACCAGCGGCATCAGACACAGTACCCCCACAGTATGATGCAGCCAACACCTTACTTCACAGCCAGAAAGCAGCCCTAAGGTCTGATAATGATGCCTTGACTAAATCTGATCGTTCGTCCAGTTTTTCTCTGGTCCTTAGCTCTGTTTTTAACTCAGCTTTATTTGGATTTTCAGAAACGACGACGGATTTTCCAGAAAAACACCCAAATTGATGAATACAAAAAAAGTTTGAGAGGAAATGAGAACGTTGTCCTGATTGTTCAGCATGGTGGAGGCAGCATCATACTACGGGCTTGTTTCATCAGGTGGTTTGATTCACTGAATAAAGAGAATAAAAAAAAAACTAGAAATTCCTCAATGTTTACCATAAATCTTAATAATAATCTAAATGTTTTTTTTTTTTATGAAGAAAATGTAAAAGTCTGGGTTTGGTTTGTAGCTTTAAAGTAGCAGAGAAACCTGATCCAGAACCAGGTGGTTTATAGAAGGTTCAACCTGAGGAGCAATCTGCTGGCAGCAGCGTCAGACTGACCTACAAACAGCATCAGAAGATGGTGCACTGCAAAAAATCTATATGAGTGCATTTTTTCTTGAATTGAGGAGGTAAAAGATACATTTTGCCAATGGAACAAGGCAATTTACACTTAAAATAAGAAAACACAATTACATTGTCTGATTTCAAGTGCATCTTATCTAAATATCTTATTTTAAGAGTAAAAATACAAATTCTATTGGCAAACTCTCATTTACCTACTCAAACTAAGGGTAAATACACTCAATTTAACACATTTTCACTTATCTCTAGATTGTTTTTGCAGTGTGGAAAGAATCTTGGTTCTGTTCATCAACACCTTTAACCCTGTAATGCCAAATGTATCATATTTGATACAAACGGTTTCTGAAATGTTTTGCGTCTGACACCTTTTGCATAATTTAATGGTAAAAACTTTGCTCAAAATGCTATTGTACACAATCAGATATACCTGATAATAGCCAGCAGAAGACTACACAAAAAATAATCTTGACTTCGCATAGTAATAAATTATTAATATCAAAAATATATTTCTGTTTTTTCTTTTTACATATTTTGTTAAAAGGCCAAATAAGGAATTCAAACCAAAAAAAAAGTAATTTTCTGTTTTGTTTTATTCTTGGATCGAGCTTTAAAGGGTTAAGAAAACACAACAGTTCAAAACAGGAGGTAAAACCTGCAACTGAAATAAAACAGGAACCACCTAGAGCTGGTTCAGGTCCAAAAAGGCAAAATAAACGTAGACTTTGCCTCAACTTCATTTATCGCTTGGGAAATTCTGGTCCCAGTAGCTTATATAGAGTAGCATACATAGAGTTAAAGCAAGATGCCATTAAAGATAAAAAATATGACAATATAAAAAGAGTGAATATGTCACCAAAAAAGCATAAAAATGTCCTGGAATATGTTTCCCTTAGATTTAAAAACATCTGCTCACCTGAGAGACGGACAATGGCGCAACGGTAAGCAGAGCATGCAGTTGCTTAGGGGCCCCGTCACTGACACCTGGTTGGCCCCCTATGCAATAGTGGACTGGGACGCCTCTTTGCAAATGTAATGGTGCAAAAAATCCGTCTTAAACCACCTGATACTAAATTGACTGACGGGACCTTATTTATACCGCAACACATGGCAGATTTCACCATGATGGTGAGCCGTTTGAACACGACACCAATAGCAAAGCAGACAGTGGGACTTTTAATTACTATGTTAAAAAAATACAAGGGCGTAGGTTTGATTTCAACTTTTTGTAACGACACTATTGGACTGATGTTATTGGTCCTATGCAATAATCTGGATGCTCGTTTGTTTATGCTCGACTTTAAAACCGGGGTGTATTTTGTTTAAAGAGAAAAGCAGCTTTTATTGCTACATTTGTATAAGTTTTATAATCCTGCTTATCAATGTTTGAAGCATCTGATGAATGAGGAATTATGACTTTTCTCCACTGCATTTGAAATTACCAGCGACTAAGACAGAAAGTAAGTGTGCCTATTTAACTAAATATAGTCTAAATATGTTTGTTAATAATTGTGCAGAGCTAAAACCCACTCTTATATTTTAAATATTCTCTCTGTATCATGAAACAAAGCAAAAATAAAACATTCAAGGGATGCAAAATAAATTTATTGCATTTACATGAGCACTGGAACCGACACTGAGCATTTAGAATATTAATTTCACTCTAGAATTCATCTAGGCTGTAGTTACTCCATTTAACCCATATTATGTATTTTATCTTGCTCTGAAACAATTCATCGGAATAATCGATTATTGAAATGTCAAAAAATGTAGTAATCGTTGACAATAACTGGAGTATAGAGACTCTAAAACATGTCTTGAGCTCACGAGCAACCGACTTAGAGCTGGAATTATACCAAAATTTTTAGATAAAAGATGTTTTTGCTGTCAATATTCTCCATCCAGAGCTCCTCTACATCTGCAACAAAGCTGTATTGTAAATTATAGACATGTTATTCACATCTAATTGTAGGTCGTTCCAAAATTTTGGTAGGGACATGTCCCTATGGTCCCTATACAAACCTACTCCCATGACTGTATAGTTCATTAGACATTTAGTAAAAAAAATACTCATGTTTCAAACCGCAATAAAGACCTTAAAAGAACGGTATAATTGAGTATTTTATTTTTTTACAATAGGATTGTTGTGTCGTTACCCCAGTGGAGACGGGACAGAACCTGAGAACCGGCTCCATAAAGGATGAGGGGTCAGATTCCTTCAAGTTTCCGACTCAAAGTTCTGCTAAAAATCAGACAGAAAATCAGAAAATTAGATCATCAGAACCTCCTGGATGGAAGCCTGTGACCCTGTTTACCATCAGCTGACTGCTGCCCCCTGCTGGCTGAGATCTCTGAACTCATTTCCAAACAGAATAAAGCATGCTGGGAACATTCCAGACCAATCAGGTAAAAAATAACATTTCAACAATCCAATAAAATCCATCTTCAGGATTTCATCTAAAATCCTCCTTAAACAGTTTGCTGGTTGTAGACTGATGAATCCGGCTGCTACTGTGAGTCATTTCCCCAAATCTCTGCTTTTAAAGTTTCACCAAAAGTGTTGTTTTTTTTTTTTTGTTTCATATAGTTTTTCCTCTTTTTTTAATACAGGAATCTCATTCAATCATCTTAAGAGAAGATTTTGAAGGATTTTTCACACTTTTTACAGTTTAGTGTTTTTTTAGCATTGGGTCCAGATTTCTTGGTCAGTTTCCTAAGAACACGGTGAAATAGAGAAATCCGTTTGTGCTGAAGAATATATTTTTTAAACATATCTCAAATTACTTTATTCATAAAAAAAAAAAGAAAAAAAAAGCTGTTTATCCAAACCAACGTAGATATCTATAGGAGTCAATTAATTCCTTAATTGCTGACTTCAGGGAGTCAATCCTGAACTTCCATATTAGTGTTGCACTGATGCCATTTTTTGGCTCCGATACAGATACCTGGCTGACGATAAGCCTGACGTAGTCCGACTCAATTCTAGTCAGAATGAGTCTGATGCTGCTCCATAGAGCTGTGATTATGGGGCGTGTTTTGAACGAACCAGGAAAAAAAAAGCCTCTGCACTCAATTGGATAGACCTACAACCAATAAGAGCAACGGAGTGCGTGACGCATGTTAAACTTCCCGACCTCAAACGTACAACGTTAAGGCCCATTCA